TCCAGCTTAAACCAGCCTAGGCTGGTTGGCTGGTTTTAGCTGGTTGACCAGGCTGGTTTTAGAGGGGTTTTGGCCATTTCCAGGCTGGTCTTAGCTGGTCAGGCTGAAAAATGACCAGCTAAATCCAGCTAAAATCAGCTTGACCAGCCTGGTTTAAGCTGGACATAGCTGGTTTTGGCTGGGCTCCCAGCCTGGCTAAGCTGGTCAAGCTGGTTTTAGCTGATCACCTCCCAGCCTGACCAGCTAATACCAGGCTGGAAATGGCTGGAAACCAACTTGGAAATGGCCAAAACCCCTCTAAAACCAGCCTGGTCGACCAGCTAAAACCAGCCAACCACCCTAGGCTGGTTTAAGCTGTTTTTTTCAGCAGGGGTTGTGTGTCAAGCAGATGGCATATTAGTATATGAAGAGCATATACAAAGCCACAACGAGAGACTGCATTGTTTCCTGAAAAGACTCCAGAAAGAAGGCTTGACCTTGAACAAGAAGAGTGTGTTTGCCATTGACATTATGTTCATGGGTCACCACATCACAGCAGAAGGAGTTGCACCAGACACTGGTAAAGTCATGGCAATTATGGAGAAGCCTGAACCAACAGGAATTGAAAAAGTTAGGAAAGTTTTGGGCATGGCTGATTATCAAGAAACATTTCTGCCTCACCTTGCATCATAGATCTTATATGTGAGCGTGTGGTAAGTGTTTTTTCATCTATCGTGTGCTCGTGTCTTGCGTCTATTTGTGTTTGTTTCTTCCAAGCACGTTGCTGTGTGTTTACATTGTGGCCGCGTGCTTCAGTCTTGTCCTTTTACTGTGAGCACGTGATTAATGAGTTCTCTCATTGGCTACGTGTTCTTGTCCCGTTTTATGTGAGCACATGGCTTGTGTTGTCTCTGTGTCAATGTGCTCTCCCGTCTATTGTCTAGGCCTACCCTCCTTGTTAACCCATTATTAGTTTATTAGATTCACATGTTTAACACCTGTTTGTTCACCTGTGTATTAATTTAATTTTGCTTTATATTCTCCTCATGTCTGCTGTCTTGTGCCAGTTCCTCGTCGTTTATACCCCTGTCCTGTCGTGTTTCCAGTTCTGATCCCTGCCAGCCTGCCCAGTCCAGTTTGTTTAGGTATTAATTTGCTTTGTTAATGTTTTCCCCCTCGGGGTAGTTTATTTAGCTGTTTATTATATTTTTACTATTAATAAATACCCGTTTTCTTTGCATTTGAGTCCTCGCTCCTTTTTCCCCAACCTCAACCGTGACATGAAGGTGTTTGTGGATGCACTGATTCAGGCCCTCACAGTTACAGAGGCAAGGTTGATTACAATAATCAGAAAGCTGATCCTATTTGTGAAAAACTCATCTAATACTGCGAGACTGAGTGGCAGATGAAAAACACACTTCTCCCTGAGTTTGGGCCATACTAGCCTGAAAGAGAAAATCTCTGTTGCTGGAGAGCTTTTCCTCAGGGGCCAAATCATAGTAATTCCTCAATGCATAAAGCAAGAGGTTCTCCATAAGATACTTGTTGGTCTACAGGATATTGTCAAGTGCCGAGCCAAAGCTCGCCATGCCGTCTGATGGCCAGGACTGTCTGTTCACAAATGATGTTAGGGTACTATCAACAGAAACCTACCCAAGACACCCCTGTCCTTCTGAAACAATGTGTCAGAGATGTCCCAGAGTTGTTCCCTGTCTGTGAACCAATTTTAATTACAAGGAGGGCTAAAATTCTTTCAAACTGGCACATGATTTAAAGTGTGCTGGGTATATTTTAATGTTTATTGTGTGTGCACTTATAAGATGTGTTGTCTTCTTGTGTATGTATTATTATTATTAGTTTTTACATTTTAGATGTTGCCGCTTACAGTAAGCAGTGCCCGCTTTACCTCTATCAGGAATGGAAGGATGGTTTACACAATGTTAATTATCACATCATACTTGATCTTCCCTTTTGACTGACTTTAAGTAGCCTTCGGGTAATTTTAAACTTGACATGACTGAGTGTATGTGATGTTATAAAGACCATTGTTTATGTAGTTATTAGTTTTATATAGTTATGTAGCATATGTTTTTATATTTTTTTTTACACTTTACACAATATTGTTTTTCAGGTCCACACTCCCGTTAGAAGAGTAGTAGCATTTTTTACAAGATTTGACAGGTAACAAGTTTCCATCAGCAGATTAATTACATTTATTACATTTGAAATGTTCTGGTAGTTTGCTTTGGTGTGTTTCTGGGAGGCTTTATCCAAAGAGGTGATATGTTGTGGATTTGTCACAAGTATGTGCAAACATATAGCTTTTAATACACTATAAAGCAAAATAATGCAACACCTGTTAAAAAATCTGCTGTTTAGGTGATACTAAATAAGTTCCACCTATGTATCACTTCTGGGATACGTCATTTAGACATTGTGCTAAATACAGAGTTTGAAAAATGTTGTTCTTTAAAGTTTTCATCAGAGATCTCTGAAATTACAGTTACCAAGGAGTGGCTCAAGGAAGAACTTCGCAAACAAACGGTTGGTTAATTGCACCTTTATTTGACCATTTTCTTTTTTTTTTTTTTTTGTGCGTTACAATTTATGTGGTACACATTAATATTTTTATAGGTAAATGTTATTAGGTAGGTGCATGTGTGTTTGCATGCAACTAACGTCAAATGCACATGAGATTTGTGAAAAGGAAGATGGATAAGTTTCAAACCCCGTCTGGCATGCAACCCACCGGGAATTTAGCAGAGAATTTGAAAAGATTCAAACAACGTTTCACCATCTACTTGGACCCAACCGAGGTAGGAGGCAATGATGAAAAAAGAAAAGCATCCATACTGCTGCATGTCATTGGCAAAGACGCGCTGGACATTTACAACAGTTTCCAATTACCAGCTCATGAGTTTAGACTACAAAACATCATGGATAGATTTGACGAGTACTCTCTGTACCGAAACAGAACATCACTTATGAAAGGTACAAATTCTTCTCTTGCAATCAAAAAGGTGGGGAAAGCTTTGGTCAATATCTAGCGGAGCTTCATACATTAAGTAAAACCTGTGACTTTGGCGGTCTGGCGAATCTCTAATAAGGCATAAAATAGCATGTGGCATTCTGGACAATGCCGTAAGAGAGAGACTGCTGCGAGAGCAAGATCTCACGCTTGAAAAAGCAGTAAACATATGCAGAGCGGCAGAGACTACTCGTGCACAGGCAAAGGAATTAAACAAACAAGATAAAATGTGACATGCCCTGAAAAATATAAAGCCTCCACAAAGTAAAAATAAACAAGGAAAGACACGAACAGAATCAAATAAATATGAATGTGGAAAAAACATGCAACAAGTGTGGCAAGAACAATCACTATGCAAAATGCTGCAAGACAAAAAGTACTGGAATTAAAGTACACACTGTGGAAGAAAACAGACATTTTTTGTGGGTGTCAGCAGTATCACTAAAGAAGGATGGATTTTACCATTAACAGTCAATGGTAAAATAGTGCCATTTAAACTGGATACAGGTGCCCAAGTGAACCTTATATCAGAGAAAAAATAAAAAAGTCTCAGACAGAAGCCAAAATTACACAAAGTCAAAATAAAAGTCACTGGATATACCGGAGAGGAGGTGCAAGTGAAAGGCAGTTGCACGGTAAATGTCTTTTACAAGATCAATGTGAGGGACAAAGCCAGCACGTATAGTAAGGGGTATACAAAAAGAAGATTTTCAAAATAATTATTTTGAATAAAGTCAAAAATGTTTATTTAAAAAAATAAATAAATGAAACAATTAAACCAATTAAAAAACAAATCACTAAACAAAAAAAACCAAACTAAGTATGAATCAAACAAACCATGTCTAAACCAAAAACAGAACTCTCGAAATCTTTTACGGCGGTTGGTATGCAGCGTTTTTGTGCATTACTGCTACCTTCAGCTCCAGAGTGTGGACCAGAGGTCTATTCAATATTTTTTTTACCCCCACTTCCCTCTTTCCCACCCCTTTTCATACACACACACACCTCTCCCCTACTCATACGCTATACTAATAACCATAATACTCTTATGCTACAATGTACTCTAATACCATAATAATAACCACCACAGTACTTACTCCTAGTTTTACTTCTACTACTTCTAATAATTGGTTATATCTAACTCTATTCCCTTTACCTTCTATTATAATTTATATAATTTATTTATTTTATATCCTATCATAGACACCTGTTTCTCTCAGGAACTTTATAAGTATTCTGGTTTGAATCCTGACTTTTGTATTTAGTAAACCTTTTAAGGTCATTTCCTGAATCCCTATCTCCCTTAGATTATTTCTCATTTCCTCCCTCTGCTTTTCATACCTTTTGCATTTTAGTATTACATGTTCTACTGACTCCTCTTCACTACATCCCTCACATAATCCAGTTTCATGCTTTCCTATCAATTTAAGGACATTTTATTTACTAAACAATGACCCAGTCTTAATCTTGTTATCACTATTTCTTCTTGCCTGTTACCTCTACTTTTTTGTGTTTAACAACCTGTTGAATAGGGTATATGCCGAGCTAGTGCTGTTCCCATGCTGATACACTTCCGGTGACCTGTTATTGTGAACTTTTTTCCATTTTATACGGTTCCTTCTACAGCATCGATCTTGTAATGTCATTAAAATACATTCAGTTAAATAAACTTTAGCCTTTATTTGGTTGCTCAAGTGTAAAACGAGACAAAAAGCCGTTTACTCGCACGCGCACGTCAGAATCGGCAGGCTAACGCAGAAGCTCCATTGAATATACTGGGGTAAAATAAATGCTCATATTATAAAGACATGGCGGGGGGAAATGTAATTTATTGCAGTGCGTCTTGTACAATCTGAGGCCTACTTTAAATGGGATATCACTCAGCTAGTGGAGATCGCTGATTTTTAAAGAAAACAGACCTTAAACGCACCGGATTTTGCATTGGCATTCAATTAGCCGGAATCGCTTAATTAAAAGTCCTATTAGCATGCTTCAGCATATACCCCATTGCATACAAATGCCTTCCTTTTTTTTCTCTGTCCTACTTCTCTTGCAACTTTTCATTTATTCCTATCCTCATTAGACTTTTCACTTCTGCTTTACTAACCCTTATTTGCATTTCTACATTTTGTTTTGTTAACGCCCTTTTTGCTAATCTGTCAGCCAGTTTATTTCCCTTTATCCTATCATGACCTGGATCCCAAATAAACTTCACCTCCTTTCCCTGACTTGTTATTTTTGTTATACACTGGAGTTCTCCATACAAAATATCTTGTCTAATTGAAGAAAATGAACTTAAACTTTAGAAAGCTGGTGTGGAGTCTAAAACTCGAAATGACGAGACAGAGCACATTTATACAAGAGGGACTAGTCCACAATAAACAAGAAGGGGGAGACAAAAACAGACAATTAATAACAACAATAAACTAAGCCAAATATCTAATTATTTTTCTGAATAATAGTTAAATAAATTCTAAACAAAGCAAAACTACGTATAAATCTGAAGAAACAAACACTGCAAATCATTAATGAAATGAAACTAAACATCAGCTCTCCCTCTAAGCCATTAAGCCAATGGTGTCGGCAGGCGGAACCAAAAGACGGCACTTGGCTACAGCCTGCATGTCTGCCCTTTAGTATGTCAGACCACACCCGGAATCTCTGCCACTCCTTATCAGCACTGCAGCATGGTAACTTTAATGCAAAGGAATCTAAATTAACAAAACATACAGAAAAATAACTAATTTTGTGTGCACCCAAAATAATGATAAATGTACTGTGAATAATAAATAAAGTAAGAAACAGAAACAGTGAATGTGTCTTATTTATTCAGGAAATATTCAAGGAAACTATTAAGGAAACTAAATGTAACAACTCCATTTAACTAAACCAATAAATAATCTTAAATGTATGCATGTGTGCGTGCATGTCTTACTCTTAATCTGTGGCCACTATACTGGCCATCACAGGCTAGCACCAAAAAATACAGATACTGGTTGTAGACAAAGTGCAGCCAGTTTTGGGCTTAAAAACATGCGAGCGACTGGACTTAGAAAAGAAAGTCTTTATGGCTAATCTGCAAAATGACACAGACGATGATACACTTCTTAACCAATATGAAGACATTTTTGAGGGCTTGGGATGCCTTCTAGGGGAACATAAAATAAACATTCACCCCCAAGTGGCATCCATCATTCATGCCTGTCGAAAGGTTCCCTTTGCATTAAGAGGAAAGCTTAAGGAAGAACTTACCCATATGGAAAAATTAGGAGTGATAGCTAAAACCGAAAAGCCAACAGATTGGGTTAGCTTGTTACATATAGTAGAAAAGAAAAATGGCCAGCTCCGAATCTGTCTGGATCCAAGAGATCTACACAAAGCTATCAAAAGAGAGCACTTCAAGTTACTTATTAGAGAGGAAATCATGTCACAATTTGCATTGGCAAAATGGTTTAGCAAGTTGGACATTTCTACAGGATTCTGGCAAATGAAGCTGGATAAGGCATCATCAAGGCTCTGCACCTTCAACACCCCTGAGGGCAGATACAGATCTCTCAGGTTACCGTATGGCATACTTTCAGCACCAGAGGTGTATCACAAAACCATAAGATTGATCTATGAACACATTCAAGGTGTGGAAACAATGATGGATGACATCATAATCTATGGCGCAACTAAAGAGGAGTACGATGCCAGACTTAGGGTAGTGCTTGAAGTCACTCGAAAAGTCAATTTGAAGCTCAACAAAGATAAATGCGAATTTGGAGTGAAATCCCTAACCCTTCTGGGAGAACTCATCTCAGAGGAGGGTGTAAGGCCTGATCCAAAGAAAACATCCGCATTAGAAAACATGGAGCAGCTACAGAACAAAGATGATGACGCTTTCTAGGTATGGTTACGTACCTGGGGAAATTCATTCCACAGCTTTCTGCAGCCTGCACCACTCCGCAGTTTCATTCATTCATTCATTTTCTTGTCGGCTTAGTCCCTTTATTAATCCGACGGCACAGCGGAACGAACCACTAACTTATCCAGCAAAATTTTACACAGTGGATGCCCTTCCAGCCGCAACCCATGTCTGGGAAACATACACACATACACTCATACACTACGGACAATTTAGCCTACCCAATTCACCTGTACTGCATGTCTTTGGACTGTGGGAGAAACCGGAGTACCCGGAGGAAACCCATGCAAACTCCACACAGAAACGCCAACTGAGCCAAGGATCGAACCAGCGACCTTCTTGTTGTGAGGCGAACGTGCTACCCATTGCACCACTGCGTCGCCCACTCCGCAGTTTATTAGAACAAAAAAAATTAATGGATATGGTCAAATGAACAAGAAAACTGCTAGAAAACTTTGAAAGACATTCTGACAGCAGAACCTGTGCTGAAATTCTATGACCCGGAAAGACGCATAAGAATTTCAGCCAATGCATCACAACATGGCCCGGGTGCTGTGTTACTCCAGCAGTATAACGATGTATGGCAGCCAGTGGCCTATGCATCCAGAGCTCAATCTGCTGCAGAAAAAATAAATGCACAAATAGAGAAGGAACTGCTTGCCATTACGTACGCATTTGAAAGATTCCATCAATTTGTCGTTGGACGAGGATTCACTGTGGAGACTGACCATAAATCATTGGTTGCCATCATGGCCAAGTCATTGAACGATTGTCCCCTCAGGATACAAAGGATGCTAATCAGGCTGCAAAAGTATGATGAAAATTTATTTTACACAGCAGGAAAGTACATGTTTGTGGCAGATGCACTGTCTCATGCTGTAGACGGATAAGAAGGAACAGAGACCTGTGCAACAGAAATAAAAGCTTATGTAGATATGTTAGTAGCCTCACTCCCAGTGTCTGTTGACAGGATGGAACACCTAAAACTGGAGACAGAAAAGGACAAAATAAAAGAACTGAATGTGGCTATACAGCAAGGATGGGCGGAAGGAAAAAAAAGACTGTCCTGTAAGAATTAGAAATTACTGGGCTTGCAGATCAGAACTCACAGTTGTCGATGACATTGTTTTCAAAGACAGTAAATTTCCTCATGAAGGACACCTGGGAGAAGAAAAGTGCAAAAGGAGAGCTAGGGAAGTGATGTACTGGCCAAGAATGAATCATTACATTTCACAATTGACATCAGCATGCAAGCTTTATTTGTGCTTCAGGCCCAGACAGCGGACAGAGCCTCTTCTTCCACATCATATAACAAGTAGATCTTACTACAAAGTTGGAGCAGATTTATTTATCTGTGAGGGGAAGAGTTACATTGTGCTAACTGATTACTACTCTAATTATCAAGAGATGGCCACACTGCAGTCTACTACTAGCAAGGCGGTCATTACCTTCATGAAGTCTACGGTTGCTCGTCATAGTGTCCTCTCTGTAGTATTTACAGACAACGAACCTCAGTTTTCTAATGGGGTTTTCGCCATGATACATCCAGTCCAAATTACCCCAGATCAAAGGGATAAGCAGAGTCTGCTGTGAAAATAGTGAAGGACTCATGCAAAAGGCAGGAAGTGAGGACTTTCATAGAAGTCTCATGATATGCAAAAGTGCACCACTGGAGAAAGTAAAAAATTGATTGGAGAGATGGTGGGTCTTTTTTGCTGTCTGGAACAAACCCTCATTTGGGAGATGGGAGGTCTCCGAAACGTCCGTTAGGTGAATGGTGGGTCATTCTAGCGAGCCTCTGGAAAGACTCCAAGGTCCAGTAAGAAGACCGTTGGTCTGACAGGTGGGAACGACGTGATGACCCACCAAGCCATGCTCGAACGGAGACCAACTTTCTCCGCCTACCTGTTGAGATGTCTCGCGCCTGGGGGTTCGTGCCTGAAGACAATTGTCTCTGATCTGCCATTGAGTTTTCGGGGAAGGCGTGAAAATGTGGACTTAGGTTTTGCCGGCTTTGTGGTTCAACGAACCAGGGGGTCTACGGCCAAGCCGTCTGCCCGAGCTGGTGCGTCCGTTTCCCGCAAGCCTCTGGACACGCGTCCTGTCTCCAATGGGAAAGAAGCCAGGGGTCTGAGGCCAAGCCGTCTGCCCGAGCTGTGTGTCCATTTCCCCGCGAGCCTCTGGACACATGTTGGGTGTCAAAGGGAAAGAACCAGGGGGTCTGAGGCTAAGCCGTCTGCCCGAGCTGGTGCGTCCGTTTCCTGCGAGCCTCCGGCCACCCATCCGGTCTCAATGGGAAAAAAGCAAAAGGCCCAAGCATGCCAGGCCATGCCCGATGGCAAACCACCTTTCCCGGCCTACCTGTTGGGAGATCCCATGCCTAAAGGTATGTGCCCAATGCCAATTGTCTCTGATCTGCCATCAAGGAATCGGGAATGGCATGAAATTGTAGACTTGTGGACCACTCTGCTGACCGATAGGAGCTCATTGACATCCCAAGGTTTAGACCCCCAGCACTGGTAGGTCAGCCTCTATGGGTGTGGTTGTTTCCTCCCTGTCTTGGGTGGGCTTTGAGGCAGGCATGGGGGGTGTCCCTTCGCATTCAACCGGGGTTTGTGCGGAGGTGCCGGGGTTACGGTCAGGCCCCAGTTCGATGGTTGGTTGAAAATATGGTTCCAGAATCCATGCAAAGGCTTACACGGCTGGCGCTGCTCCGAAAAAGTCCGTGTTCGATGGGGTTCTATGATCCCCTTTGAAAAGAGGAAAGCTGTGCAAAAGCCCCCATGGCTGGCGCAGTAAAGCTGCCCAAAGTGGTGCATTCGATGGGGCCCATACCATCCCTTTGTGGGAAAGAGAAGGGGAAATCCCCCAAAATTCACAACAAATGGCGTTGGACCAAAGGGATCTTGAAGGTATTGGTTTACACCCCTGGCGCGGGGGGCTGTCTTCCCCTTAAAGAAGGGCCACCAGCGTCATGACGCAGAAGTGGACACATCCGCCTCCTTTTGAGAACCACTCCACACGGCGTGTGGGTCTCTTTCCCTCCAGCGTTGGTCTTGGACGGTCATGGCCGAATGTGCACTCTGCTTCAATGTCTTCAGCCGGTTCTCACCGCACCTGTCAGCGGTTCACCAGGTGACCATCTTGGACGAAAAGAGGCTTTTGCACTAGGCCGCCTAGGTCGCCTCTATGGACGCGCCGGCCCTGGTGATAATGGTCAGGAATGTTGGACCATTATTGCCTTTTTAGCATATAAGTAGAGGACATACAAACTAGCCAGACAGTAATGTGTGAATTATGGAAGAAAAAAGAAACAGTCAGTATGCTTGTGCTTGCTTTTATTATTATTAAGAAGGTAAAACTAGCCAGAAATGTTTGTATACTAGTATGTATTATGTCAGTGGTTCTCAAACTTTTTTCACCAAGTACCACCTCAGAAAAAAATTGTCCCTCCAAGTACCACCTTACGATGCTATTTCATAACCAGTATTAAAAAAAATAGCGTCGTAGGCCTAATTAAGCCGCTACAGGTGTGCACAGTTTAAAAACGATGCAGATTAATTCCTATTATTAAGAATATGTATTATTATCAGTCACTTTAAACATTTGAAATAGTCTGAACATTAACTGTGCTTGCAGATTAAAAAAAAAAGTTTTTAATAAAATGTGCTTTTAAAAGTTCATTAAAAATGGCGCGGTTCTTAAAAAGTAAAAAGAAAATTGCTGTGCTTAAATCTAAAGTATTCATTGTAGCCTATTCATCAAAAGCTGGAGATGTTGCTTGGACCTTATAAATATAGGCTATATGTCATATTCCTACACTTTCAGACAAATCTTGAAATATATGTTAAATGTAAATATGACAGGGTTCATACAAGCACAGCCTAATGAAAATCAATTCCGACATCTATTTTTTTTCAAGACTGACATGCTATGTATTGAAGACCTGAAATGTATTCTCAGCAACCCATAAAACATTGCATAGGAATAGATACAAAAAAATAACATTAAAAATAATATTTATTAATCATATATTCATAATATAATAAACCTGCACTAAATGCTTGTGAACTCTTTTTTGTACTCAAGTAAAAATACTATTACGATGCTAAAATAACACAAATTTTAGTAAATAATACTAATATTAGGTAAAAGTACAAAGTACTCTTTTAAAAAGTACTAGTTGGTTACTTTTGGACAAAAAAAAAATCTGATTTTCATTTGAGCAATCTGAGCACACTTTTTTACGTGGAAACCTGATTGAATGGTTTAATTGCTTAAATCCCAAAGCTACATGTATAGGAAATTGCACTATCAAAGAAAGTATGGTCGATTTTTCCTTTCATGACAATTAATCTTTTTCAATAGCACTGGTAAAACTACCAAATAATCTTTAAGGCCATAGAGACACTTTTTGCCCATTTTTTAAACGATATTTACAAGCTTTGAAAGGTAGCTAAATCTAATCTAAATCTAATCCTAATCTAAAATAGAAACTTTAAAAAAAATACAAGTACACTGTCAGTAAAAAAAAAAAATAATAATAAAACAAATGACTTCATTTTACTTGAGGTATTTGAAATATGACAACACTACATTTATCAGTGCGAGTGCTTTAAGAGCCTTATTGTTAATTTTGATAAATAAACAATAAGTAACAACGGATTGCTTTGACCTGTAATGCTTTAAGCCAGATCAAAATACAGCTAAATGTATAAATCACACAAATACCTCATCCAGAAACGTTTCCAGCATAATTCTTTTGTCGTAAAGAAAAAAAAAGAAAAAAATACACCTTTGCCAAAAGTAAGTTTCACTTCACAACACAGCCAAATAAGAAGACCATTAGCATTGTCATCGATCATGTATCAATCTATTTCTAAATACTTGATAACTTTGAATACTTTTGACTAAATTTAGTCAAGGAACAAAGATAAATAATGTCTAGTGAACAGATCGCGATTATATTCAATCTGAGCACACAGGCGATCATGAGAGCACTTGCAGTTCATTTGGGGAAAAAAAGCCTATTTAAGAGCTCACATATCTGTTT